CCATGAATATGGTCAGATATCACTCCTGTGATGATTATGTTACATTATGTGGGAAAAGAGATTTCACAGCTGTATTAATGTCCCAAGTCAGTATATATAGCTGGTGTTGCATGAAGGAGATCTAATGCCACGGTCAGTGGCCTTTTTTTCTCCTATGTATTATAAAATTCATTTTCAATATTTTCCTGGTATAGAGTTAATTTTTGTACTTTAGGTAGTGTTCTGGATCCTGGATTGGTATAAGTCAGCAGCAAGGCCTGGTAGGCAGACACGGAAACAGACATTGCATGAAAGGGATTAATAAGAATTAGCAGTCTTTTGGGAGTATCATGAGAATGCAAAGGAGAGACATGAAGAAGCTGCAAACAGATGTACTGGGGATGAGTGACCACAGAGGAAACAGGATACCCAAAATTGCCATTTCACTGTGTGTGTGAAGGAGCTTATCTGTATTTAACAATTCCATTAATCTTGGGGTTCAAATTTTTTTTTGTGAGAATATTTATTTATATGATAGCATATAAAACATTGTTCTGCATCTTGCTTTTTCCTATGAGTTCAGATCGGTCTGTGTAACAATGAACATCAGTTTATTTCACTGAGAAAATAAGAACAGGGGCTCTAGGGACATAGACAAAAACTATTTAGCCACAGCTAGAAGAATTAGCAGGATTAGAAAAGTCTCTCAGAGGAAGTGATTGTGAAGTAGATACTATTATCTCTAATTTACAGAGGAGAGATTATGTAACTTGCTCAAGGTTACCTAGCAAGGTAGGGATGGGGCCAGTTTTCAACCCCCGATTTATCTGGCCCTGGTGCCAATGCAGTTTGCAGTACTTTGAGCTCGTTCTTAGGACAATGTCATGTTTTTATTCCGTTACCAGCTACAGTTTGCAGGGCTCTGCTTCCTGGAATTTTTTTTTTAATCTCCTAAATACAGTATCAGGGTAAGCTACATATTTTGTGAAGTACAGTGAAAAATGAAAATGTGATACCCCTTGTTGACAAATCATTAAGAATATCAAGGTGGCAACAGCGCATCATTAAACCAAGCAGGGGCCTTTGCAACTGCACTAGTCACATGCCATGAAGCCAGCCCTATACAGCATAGTAGTTGATCTGCAACTACTGGAAACCTGAGGGAAAAGCTCAGCCCAGCTGTGAGTAATGCAAGACCCTGAGATGAGTCTTTCACTTCTCCTTCCCAGTTCAGTTTCTGGGAGGAAGACAACAGACACAGGGACACAAAGGGAAGCTACATCTTTCCATGATACTACAGAGGGCACAGAAATTCCCAAGAAGAGACCTGTAATGTTGCTGTTATTTTCTAAATGCCCTGCTCTTGAGTCCATGAGGATTAACCTTCCCTGCATAATAAATTGTAACCTCTTGCTATGATCATTTTCACATGTGCCTTTGAGTTAATTTTGCTGAGCCAGTTTTGCACCTTACATACAAAGTTTGAGTGGTTAGACTATTTTTACACAATACAAAAAAAAACTTTCCTCATAACAGATCAATGTGTTGAAACCAACACCTTTACACTTGGCAGAACAGTAGTACTCTTTGCAGGTGCAGATCATGCAGTTATACCTTGCAAAAGTTTATAACCCTGCAAAGAGCTGTGACAGTCTACAACTATGTGTTTTTCCTTTATATGTGTTCTCTTTTACACAATTTCCTCATCTGTAAAATGGGCACAAAATGAACACCTGCTTACTGATGTTCTACAGAGGTCTAACCCATACAACAGTACTTAGCACACATAAGCATAATTTTTACATGTTATCCTATCTGCATGCCATGTAATGCATAAAGGCAACTTGGAGTTGATTAATTTGTATATTGGGACCCACAAAATAGAGGCTGCCCCAGTGGCCTGATATCACAAATCTAAACCTAAGCCTGTGCTTATGGGAAACATCTATCGAGGAATCACAAATCCTCCAACTCAGTTCTAGCTAGCTTACCTTATCCTAGACAATAGGACCTGCTCATCTTTTTTTTTTTTTAAGTGGGCTCTATGGAGCCCAACACAGGGCTTGAACTCAGGATCCTGAGATAGACCTGAGTAAGCTGAGATCAAGAGCCAGCTGCTTGGGGCACCTGGGTGGCTCAGTTGGCTAAACACTGCCTTCGGCTCAGGTTATGATCCCAGGGTCCTAGGATCGAGTCCCGCAAGGCGCTCCCTGCTCAGCAGGGACCCTGCTTCTCCCTCTCCCATTCCCCCTACTTGTGCGTTCTCTCTCCATCTCTGTCAAATAAAATATTTAAAACAAAGTCGGATGCTTAACTGACTAAGCCACCCAGGTGCCCTGGACCTACTAATCTTACGGGGAAACCCCTTACCTCCTAGCCAATCATGCTCTGTTTTTATAATGCCTGTTCTAACACTATAAAACCTGCTTTAGCTCAAAAACCCTCAGGATGAGTGTTCTATTGCTTATGAGGTACTGTACTCCCCCAACCTATGGATTGTTTTCCCTTGAATAAAGGACATCAAACTCATTACTAAATTTAGTTTTGTTATTTGACAGTCGTGTTAATACTAGCCTTTTTATTTCCATGACTTTCTAAATAAACTAAATTACATGTGTAACTAGCATTGTATTTCTAATGAACAGCACTCATGACAAGTTTGAAATGCGTTAGACACCTCAAGTGAAGTCAACAGACAGTTGGATATATGTGGCTGGTGTACAAAGATGGTAACAGATACACAAATTTGGGATTCACAAGCTTAAGGTGATATTTGAAGACATGAGACTATATAGGATCCCCTGCAAAGTGAAATGTGTACAAAAAAAAATGACACCAAAACTTATCTTCTAGGACAGACCCTGTGGGAAATATGGGAAAGGAGGGAGAGAGGGTTCCTTTTGTTGTTTTGGTTTATATGTATTTTTTACTCCATTCCTTTTAATGTGGTATCCTACCATGCTTCCAAAACTTAACATTTTGAAAGGAGCTGAGTCCCATCACAGTAGTCATAGGGTCAAGGTGGAAAACAGAATATAGAAGATAAGACCACATCATGTTACTCAGAGAACCAGATATACACCCGGTTCATAGGGTGGTGTATGTCCATCTAGTTCTCTCCAAGTACGCCTACACACACACACATACACACACACGTTCAACTTCAAAGACCTGCTCACAAACTAGGTAACATTTTTTATAATAGAATTATTCATTAACACAATGTTCACCCAACATTGGACTATTCCCCTATCAGTCATTAATGTTAAATCACCAACTAAGTCCACCCCCTTCCTGACCCACATTCAGGAGCCCCAGTTCCCAACACAATGAATTTCTTCCTCTAGAAAGGAAGAACTGCTCCCTCTTCCTGTTCGTGGGTCTTGATTTCAGCAATGCCTTCTATCCTCCTCCTACATACCTGACCATGCACTGCCTCTTTCCTGACTCAGAATATCACCACCACCTGTCCATTTCTCTAGCCAACTTGGGTTAAAGTGCCCCCTATTCTTTTTAAGTTTTCATTCAAATTCCAGTTAACATACAGTATAATACTAGTTTCAGGTGGACAATTTAGTGATTCAACAGTTACATACAACACCCAGAGCTCATCACAACAACTACACTTCTTAATCCCCATCAAGGTGCTCCCTAGGCTTACCCCAGTACTAATACTTATGCTAAGCATACATCGTACCTAGTGAAACGTCTTGGACAGACCCCCACTTCAAAGTTTGGCAAAATGACTCAGAATATTTTACTCCACTTATCATTCAAAAGGAATGCTACTATGCTGATTACATTTTTCTAATTCTCCAACTGTAACACAAAATTAAAAACCTTTGTACCTCGATCAAAACCCACAGTACATTAAAAAATAAAACAATGAAGTCATTTTAATTTTATTCATCAAAAATTAATTGTATAAGTGGCAACACTGGAAAAGGGGAATCTCAACTCAGGGGCAAAGGCAGGCTAGCCCTTTTGAGGGAGAAGGGGCCCTGGAATCAAGGGCCAACAGCAGTTAAGTGTTGGGTGGTGGAGTCTTGGGGAGAGGAAGTTTCAAAACTCAGGACATTGGTTGCTGGCTCACAAAACTTGGAAACCTCACACGTTACTGCAGGGCAGGCAGCCCATTTAGGACAGTGGGTGGATGCGGGTTCCTTTTTTGGGTCTTATGAGGAGGGTCACAGCATAGAAGGTATAGGTGGGTACAGTGTGCTCCCTATTTCAGCCTGTTCTCCTGGAGAGATAGGGCTCAGGGCATCAAGTGCTGGCAGCAAGGCACGCCTAATGCTAGCAGGGCTAGGGGTGGAGATGGAGCCCAGACCACAAAACCGAGGGGAGGACGAAGAGGAGGTCAGGACAGAACACCCAGCAGGGGAGGGGCAGGGGTTCAGGCCAGGAGACCCAGGGGATGAGGAGGAGAAGCTCTCACTACATCGCCTAGGGAAGAGAGAAGAGAACGCGTCAAGAGAGGATGGTGAGGAGGAACTCGCGTGGATGGCAGGACCAGGCTGGGAGGCAAAGAACAGGACTGCAGGATCAGGTGAATCTGAGCTGCTCCAGAAGACCAGCCTTCTTAAGGCAAACCCAGGGGGAGAAGGGCTCTGGGCGGCCAGCCCTGGTGGAGAAGGAAGGCTGTGAGCTGCTGATCTTTGCTGGGTAACATGGCTCCGGAGGACAGGGCCTAGTGTGGAGGCGTGGCTCCGGAGAACAGGGCCTGGACTGGCTGCGAGGCTGCTGCGGAGAGTAGGGCCTGGAGGGGAGGCGTGGATTTCGAGGGCAAGGCTTGGCCCAGTATCGCCGTCGTGGAGAACAGGGCTTCGAGAGGATGCACCGCTGCGGCGAAGAGAAGCTGGGTGGGACGCAGGACTGCTGAGAGCCCGACCCGGTGGGGTGGCGGGGCGGCGGAGGGCCTGGCCAGGCCTAGTTGTGGAATTACGAAGAGCAGGACCTGGTGGGGTGGTACGACGGCGGCGGCGGCGCGCAGGGCCTCGTGCGGATGCACTGCTGCGAAGTGTTGGGCCCGACTCGGACGCTTGGCTACGGAGAGCAGGGCCCGGCACGGCCACTTGCCTGCGGAGAGGGCGTGGCAGGGTGGTGTAGCTAGAAGGGGCCGGGCCTGGCGGAGTGGTGCAGCTTCGCGGGGCAGGGCCTGGCTCAGATGAGCGGTGGCCGCGGCCGCGGGCGCCGCGTCGGCGGCGTCGGCGGCGGCGTCGGCGGCGGCGACGACGACGAACAGGACCTGGTTCAGGTGCATGGCGGCGGCGGCGAGCAGAGCCTGGCTCCGATTCACGGCTGAGGTCATCAATGCCTGGTGGGGTGGCGTGCCCATTAAGGGCAGGGCCTGGCCTGGCCGCTTGACTGCGGAGTCCTGGGCCTGGTGCCCGGGCCTGACTGCGGAGTCCTGGGCCTGGTGCCCGGGCCTGACTGCGGAGGACTGGGCCTGGTGCCCGGGCCTGACTGCGGAGGACTGGGCCTGATGCCCGGGCCTGACTGCGGAGGACTGGGCCTGGCTGGGATGCGTGACCCGATGGAGAAGCCCGAGAACGGCGGCGGTTGCTGGGCTGAGACCCCGGAGAAGATGGCGGCAAGGGCACGGGGCACTGAGCTGTAGGAAGCGCAGGAAACGGATAGCGCCGCCCTGGAGGCTTCTGAGCCTGGGAAGCCTCCTCGCGGCCGGGCTGCTTCCTCCCACGGCCCTTCCCCGGGCTCGCGGTCAGGGTCGGAGGCCCGCTGGCGGGACCAACTCCCCTCATGCCTTGCACCATGGCGGCCACGCCGCCCGCGTGTGAGGCCTGGAGACCTAGGCCCGCCCCGGGCACCACCCATCTCAGCTCGGCGTGGGGACTGCAGCCGCCCTGGAGGTCAGCACGCTCTCTCTCCAGCACACAGCCCATGGAGGGCAGCTCCGGGCCCTCGCCATTGATCGAAATGGCGCCGGCGGCAGCCAGGGCAAAGGCAGAGGAACCTGCCGTGCCACTGTGTGGGGCACCACCACCCGAGGGAGAAAGGCCGCTCGAGACCGAGGGGACCAAGGCACTGAGATCGGGGTTCCCGGCCCCACGGGCGTTGCCGGGGGCAGGGGCAACCTCGTTCTTCGGCCCTGTGGGCACCTCACCCTGCTCTTGCTTCTGCGCCTTCTGGTCGGACGACGGAGTGGACATAACTCCAGATTCTCTCTCAGAGACGCGAGAGCGTGGCTAAAGACGCCGCCTGGGTAGAGCTCCGAGGGGGAGGAGTGAGGATGGGCGTGTCCTGGTCGGATCTTCACCTGATTGGTCGGGTGGTTGCCACGTGACTCGCGTCTTAAAGGGAGCGAGCCAACCTAATTCCGTCTGGCGCCAAACCAAACCGTGTGCTCCACCGTTCTGGGGGCCGCTGCTGCCGGGTCCACGATGTGAATTTCCGATCCATACCTGGGCCCCTATGAGAGCGAGTGAGAGAGAGTGTGTGTGTGTTTCGAGGGCGAGGGCAGCGATACTGTCTGTATAAACAGTTTGAGTCACCCCAAATCAGTTTAGCTTGTCGCATCACTCTGGTGGTGAAACTTTCAAGCAGTGGCTTGAAAGAAATACCACACTGGCCAAGAGGAGATACCGCTGAGCTGGGCATCCCTCCTGGAATCCCGTCAGGACGCAGGGCCCATGTGTGACTCCAGAAGAGACTGTCCCAGAACTCCTCTAGTGGGCTGTAGGGTTGGAGAACGGCCTGAAAGTAACAAAAGGGATGGGGCCCACACTGCCTGGGCTCGGGATGTTCAGCACTGCTGCCACGCACCCAGAGGTTGGATTTAGAATTTTCCAGTAGGATGCTTCTCCTTGCCTTGCCCCCTGAACACAGACTGGGGTTGCCTGGGATTAAGAATGATACTGTCCTTAAATATGCATCAACATTTGTATGGGCTGCATAGCAATCCACTGATGAATGTACATTCATTTGTGTGATCTACTCTCTAGTTTTTGTTAATACAAATATGCTGTGATGCACAGGCTTGAAGTCCAATATTTAGACCAGATTTTTAGTCATTATTACAGAAGGGCTGCCATTTCAGTACCCAAAACAGAAAAGCAAATGTAAGAAAGCCAGCACCTAAATTGACACACCTATAAGGCAAGTTACACATAGTTTATTTTATGAAATGGGATCACTTATCCATATTGTTTGGTCACCTGCTTTTTTGGGTCCAGAAAACTCTCTCTCCATGTCAATAAGTAAATTTCCACAAGGCAATTTTTAAGTAGAAAATATTCCATTTATACCAGAAGCTTACATCTTCAAACATTCCAATATCAACCAACGTCTCACCATCTATAACACATCACTGTGAAGCACATCCTTCTTACTAAAAATCGTTCATATCCTCAATTGTGTCCTTGCTATCGATAAACTCCCAGATGAAGAAATTCTTGGCACAGGCCATGCACATTTGTAACTCTTTGATTAAAATATCAGCAAGATGTTCTGAAAGTCACCATTATGACAATTTCGGCCGAATGGAATGGGAGCCTTACTGGACCGGAGGAGCAACTGGAGCAAAACACAATGCAAAGTAGAATGGAATGGAATTTGGAGTGTTAAATAATATGGAAGGGAAAATGGATTTGAAATGGAATGCCAAACGGGATGAAGTGGAGACTAACTGCAGTGGGAATTGGAATGAAATGGGGGATGGAATACGGACTTAAACAGGATATGGAATGGAAAATTGAACAGGATGAAAATTGAATAGAATATAATGGGAAAATGGAGTGGAAAGGAGGATGGAAATAAATATCTGATGGCATGTGGAATAAAAAAACATAACTTCTTTATATGAGAAAAAGAATGGAGTGGAATATACAGTGAAGTAAAATATTAAAGAAAATGGGAGGAAACCGATGGAATAGAATTTGCAAGGTCATGAAATCAGTGGACTATGAAATTTGCACTATAGATTTAAAAGTACCAGGATGGAATAGCAACAAATGGAATGAAACTTGGAATGAAATATAGAATACAAAGTTATGAAGGGTGGAATAGACAATGAATATAAATAAAATGGAATATGGAAAATGAAATACTGATGAAATAGAGGATGTGTTTAAATGAAGAGAATGTGTTCTCATCTACCGCTCCATAACTTAGTGTCATGGAACAATGACCATTTGATCATGCTCAGGCATCCTGTAGAGCTAGAATTCAGACAGGGCAGACGGCAGATGGCTCATCTCTGCTCTACGATATCGTCTGAGGCCTCAGCTGGGAAAACGTGAATGTCTGTGGGATCATGAGTGAAGGACAGCAATCAGGACTCTTAGATTTTGGCCATAGTATCTGGGTGGATGGTGGTGCCACTTCCTGGAATTGGGAAGACTTGCAGATTGGGGACACAGTAGGAATCTAGTGATTCTCAATTCTCAAAAAAAAAAATCTGCAAGAGTAGGGTTTTTTGTTTGTTTATTATTTCTCAGAGAGAGAGAGAGAAAGAGAGAGCACAAGCAGGGGGAGTAGCAGGCAGAGGGAGAAGCAGACTCCCTGCTGAGCAAGGAGCCTGATGCAGGACTCAATCCCAGGACCCTGGGATCATGACCTGAGCCGAAGGCAGAGCTTAACCGACTGAGCCACCCAGGCATCCCTGGGAGAGTAAGTTTTGTTTGCCTCATACTTTATATTCTAAATGTTCTCAACGAGCATAGATTACTCTTGCATTCAGAAAAATACAGATATTTGCATTATGGAAAGCAACTAATTTTTAGTGTTTAATTATGATTTAAGCTGTTGTAAGAAACCAGGCTCTCACATATGTTACCGGATTTGGGTTCTACATTCAGAGCACCCTGCCAGATGGAAATCTGACAAAACATATATAAACATGAAATCCATTTGGTGCTACAATTCCTCTTCTAGGCATTGATTCAGAAGAAATATACATATATTAAACCACAATGTTATTTGATCAGAAGTGATTATTTTGGTGTCATTTGTTTAAAAAAAAATTGAAACCACCTAAATTTCTGGCAGGATACTGGATGGTCCACAGAATAAACTTATGTAGAGTTTATGGGATGTTTCTGAAGAACTTTTAATGCTATTGGAAAATGGCTATGTTATGCAAATAAAAATTATATACTGAATATACTGAATATATGTATACTATCTATACATATACCTAGAATTCGATGTATATTAAAATCTCATTTACTATCTATATATCTAGAATTGGATATATATTAAAATCTCATTTACTATATTGTAATGATGCTCATCCAGCTGCATGGTGCCCTCCAGGGGGCACTTGACAATGTTGGGAGACATTTTTGTTTGTGACAATTTGGGGAAAGGGGAGATGCTACTGCCATCCAGTGGATCAAAACTAGGGATGCTGCTTCAAAAATCCCTGAATGCACAAGCTAGCCTCTTACAACAAACAATTATCCGGTCCAAATATCAGTAGTGTCCAGGTTGACAAACCCTGTGGTGGGGTATTTAGATAATTTGGAAAAGTTTAAAACAAAATTTAAATCATAGTCAATCTTGTCAGTGATCAGTAACTATTGTTAAAAGTTTGGTATGTGTAGGTGTTAAATTTTCTGTGATAACTTTGTATTTTATAATCACCAGAAGGGTATGTAAGAAGTAAACTACTTCATCTTAATTGTTCCTTCGCAATGCACAGAACGGTTTTCAAATATTAACCATATTAATCTTTGCTTAAGAAATGATGTACCTTAAGAACTGTAATTTCAGCTCATTTATGGGGAGGGACATTCCACCAGTATCAATCCATCATCATCAATCTCCTGATTTTTACCTTTCTGATCAAAGGTTTCATTTCCAAGTATTTACATATTTGGTTAAAATAAAGAGAAACCGTGGCCCACAATGCAACATATCTGATTATACCGGACAGTGTGGTTGACTAACTAGGTCATAGTAATCTCATTACCCTTCCAGTGACTGGTTTAGGAATGGGCATTCTCCCGTCGATACTCCCCCATATCAATGAGATGCACGTCTGCTTGCAGTCTTTGGGATAAGTTTTCTCAGCGCTTAAAGAAATAAAAGAGACACAACAGATGGTTTACATTAAAAATCTCAAAAAGCATATGTATCTGATACTATAATTAATAAATGATTTAGCATGGTTGCTGGATATATGGTCAATTTTACAAAATACAATTGGATTTCTATATACTGACATTAGAATTATAAGGAGAAAAAATTTTTAAATGCCATCTATGACAGCATCAGAAGAGAACAAACACCTAGGAACAAATCTAACAAAGGAGTCCCAAGACCTCTGCCCACAGATAGCACTTCTGAGAGAAATTAAAGACAGCCTACATAAATCAGACATATGTCATGTTTATGTATTGGAAGACAACAGTATGAAAGTGAATGGAAGAGAGAATTCTTGTGAAACTGATCTATGGATTCAATGCAATCCCAATGAAATTCCCAGGAGTTTTTTCTTTTGAAAATGGAAATTGTCAAGCTGCTTCTAAATTATATACGGATAACAAAGATCCGAGAACAGCCAAAGCTATCTAAAACAAAAAACAAGACTTTTCAGGACTTTCACAGCCAGATAACAAGACCAACTATGACGCTATAATTAAGATAGTGTGGTATGAGCACAAGAATAGACAAATAGGCCAAAAGACACAAAGAGAAGGGTCCACGAATAGACTCACACAAGCACAGTCACCACACCACATTTACAACAACTGTGCCACTTAGAGTGCTCTGGGGAAAGGATGGTCTTTTAAATAAGTGGAGCTAGACTAAC